CGGTTCGATCCCGGCCAGGACCTTCTCTTTTGCCTCTTACATTGAACAAGAGCTAAGCTTTCTCTGTTCCTAGTTGCGTGCAATATGCTTCGACGTCCCTTTTATGAAACTTTATCGCAATTTTTTATTCAACTTTGAGCGCCTACTTATAAATTGCAAAACTGCCAAGATTAGCTGCCTTAAAGGTGGAAATAGCTCTTCGAAGGGTTTGGGGCATGCGTCTGTTTCTAGATTTCATTTTCATGAAAAAAAGAAATTGAAGATAAAACTTATCACTTGGGCAGTTTTGCAAAATGAATGGGAGTTCGCAGTCGTAAGCTTATACTGTACGAGATAGAACTCATGGATCAGAGTGTGAAAACAATATTTTTCGCATGCTCTCGTTAATATATGATCACTAGCTTTATGACTGATGAGTATGCCTCACGAATATTATAAGATGTCACGATCATCCGCTTTCTAGCACCTCCTCCTTTCCAGGTTTTCTGAGGTTTTCTATTGTTCCCTAGAATCATCCCAATCACCCCAAAACCTGATCTACAATGAAAGCATGAGTTTTCCATGAGTATTTAGACTTATCAGGAAGTTATTCGAAAGAGACCCGGAAGTATCGAGATAACCCGGTAAAGTGGCAGTGGTTGGAAAGGTCAAAGTAACATGGCACCACAACGATTTACAGGCACAGCACAGCATCGCACGTCTGGACAAAGCCCAGACGTATCTACCCAGACCACATTCCTTCTGGTTCGATCAAACGATACTTTACACATTTAGGATTATGGAACCACCAGCATGGGGATAACTGAGTCCCCACAATTCACTAAACTCGTATAATACTAGATATACATACTTTTCTTTAATACTTTTCATATAATACTTTTCAGAATGGCTCTATACTTTAAGGACTGGTCGAGTGCATGTCGCATTCTATGTATATTCAGGAACACCGTTCGCTCTTTTTCACTCTGTGTAGGAAGCTAGTCAAGGGGAAGAAATGCATTAGAACTGACCTGCTCACGATCGAAAATGACTCGCTTTGTTGACGGACTCCCATTCCAGTGAAATACTAGCGGACCAGATTTATCACTTTTGATTCGGATTGATGCCCGAAGTTTCTGGCTGAGTATCATAAGGAACAGGCCGACATTCTTGACGAATTCCTGTGGAGGGGTGAGAACCACGATAGAAATGTCTCCTGGGAGCTGAAAGAGGACCATAAATTGGCTTCCACAAATCCTCTGAAAGTTCGAGCTAGCGCTTACAATAGAGGGCAGCTTCTTCGTCGAACAGTCTCCACCGTCGAAGGCACATTCTGGTGAATTACACTGTTCATCGCAGATGCCATCGTGTCCATGCATTCTACAGTAATCTACGATATTTGATGGACAATCACGATGACCAGGAGCACAGTCGAAGCCATCAAACAGACAGGCTTCATTATTGCAGATCTGAAAACGATACCTTAGAGAGGAGGGTAACTGGGGGGTTTCTAAGGACTTCAGCAGGAGTTGCCAATACCGTAAGCAGGAGGAAATGGTAGGAATTTGGTATTCAGTTAGTCAATGGAACAAGAATACTCACCGGATCACAATGTCCATCCTTGAAGACGTGTGCGCAGTAGCTAGCCGAATCACATTTACTGAACGGTTCACCTTTGGCTGAACAATCTCCAGCATCGAAACCACAAGCGAAGTAATTACACTCCGAATGGCATTCACCATCACCGCCTTTGGACTGGCAATTGGATAGTTCACAGTACTTTTGCTCCCGTCTGTAAAAAAACCGAAGATTTGAATTCCCTCTCCAGAATTCGAGAGACAAGCTGGGAGAGTGACAGTCGAAAAGAAGGGGTTATTCGTAATTCCTTCCGCTCTCCTACTTACCTATCAGTATCGCTGAATTTATCGAGATCGACAAAAATCTGGCAATTCCGGCCGGTATAGCTATGAGGACAGTCACATTTGTAGTTGTTTACCAAATCGATACATTTTCCATTATTCAAGCATAATCTGAAGGAAATAATTCTTTTGAAAGCATAGGTGTAAAAAAATGAAAACGCGTAACAACCCAAAGCATCGCTTCCTGATTGCACAGGCCCTAGTGGGAATTTTACCCGAATGAAACCAGCTTGCCACCCAACGAATTACCCATATAGTACCTAATGTGAATGAAAGGGCGACTGTACTGGTTCACATTACCTTCCCCTCAGCGCACTGAATAGACCAGGGAGTCCAAAAG